TAGATGACTCACAGAGGTCCCTTCCAACCCCTACTATTCTGTGATTCTGTGATTCTGTGATTCAAACATCCTATATGAAAGGCATACTTCTCTTAGACAAAAACCAAAGAACAGGAGGGCTGTGAAAAAAGTGCTCTTCTGTTTGCACCTACTACACCTTTTTTTCACTAAGTAACTTAAGACCTTATTCATACCTTGGTTATGCTAACTGTAAGTGTGAGAAAGTAACAGAAAATTCAACACATCTCTGAATATAAAAAAGGAAATTTCCATGTTTTTTCGTGCTTACCCTATTCTATTGGCTTCAATGAGATATGAAATGCAAAATGTACATGATTCCAGTTGTTTTTGGTTTTTTTGTTTTTTTGTTTTTTTGTTTTTTTTTTTTTTTTTACAATGCCATATTTCAACACTTATTTAATGAACTTCAAAAAATAGCTATCAATAATGGACACGCATCACATTTCTTCAGTCTCCCAGTTTCAACAACAGTCAAGATTTGCCAGAAATACTGGACTCCGACACAAGAGATTGTCACAATACCTATGACTGTTCCTGACAGCATCATTTCATTTGACTGGTACTTCAATGAGGAAAATAGTTATGAATCTTTTTAAAATAACAAAACAAAAGCAATACGTAAGAGTGTTTTAAAGGTTTCAATTGCCTAATTTGGTTGCATTACTACCTGAAGTTGTCTGCTAAACTCAGTATTCCTTATTATTAGAACCCCATGCTGTGTGCTTGTTGTTCTATACATTGTTACTTAGAATCATCAATAATTGTTTAAGAATCAGATCTTGTTTTCTGCAGAAAATTTATGATTGATGATTCCAAAATAAGATGCATGAAGTACAAGCAATAGAGTTTAATGTTCAAAGACCAGATGAAATAAACTAAATCTAGAACACAAAGAAGCTAGAATAGAAAACATGCATATGAATTAATAGGTCCAATAATGGAAATCAGAAATCTCATAGAAACTTAGAGTGTTCAGACAGAAGCTCAATTCTAGCAATCTCAGTAAGCTCTCTCCCAAAGATGATTTTTAACTAATATGTATGTTGCTATAAGATATTGCTATAACGTACTATAAGGAAGATAAAACTCCAGTATAGGCCTTTTTGAGAAATGAGTATAAAATTACTTGTTTTCACCATACTTTCTAGAACAATACTTGAGCTCAAAAATAGATACAAATTGAATAAATTAAGACTGGTTAACTTTAAACGGTACATTACATACACGAAATATTGTACTTGACAAGCTGTCTCGTATCACCTTGCTGTTCCGTTATACAGAAAAAGAGAGATAAATTCTTTAAAATGTTTCATACTATTCCATGCATCACAACATTCTTCAAGAAAAAAAAAAAAATGCATTCAACTCAGGCTAGAGAAAGAAACTTAGAAACTCATTTTGGTTTTCTTTAAAGGAGACTTCAGACAACTTTCTCACATTCCTCTGAAACTAGCCAGAAAATTACTAAGATGACCTTCGAATTTCCGGTCTGATTACTGCTTTCTCATTTTCTCCATGGATCACTGGCAAGGTGAGGAAGTTACATCCACTAAGTCAACCAGAGAGCAAAAAGTAATAAAAAAACAGACCAATACCATTTCAAGTGTTTTCTCTTCATCAAAATACCCACAACCACTTTCAGTTTAGAGAACACAAAAACCTCTTCATTACTCTAGTTATCTTCTATCATTGTCTTTATCAGATTCACACAACATTTGTGAAAAATTAAAATTTAAGCACTTTTATTTCAGTCCAAAAGAATTAGGAGAACAGAACAATCCTGTAACCTTCTCTCTCACATAAACTTCACCTGCAATTTTAAGGAGAGCTTTGATGTTGGCACGATGCTGTTTTGAAAGACATTTATTTCCATTTTCAAAAGCAAACACATAAAACAGTAAAAAGAATGAAGCCTAAAATAACAGGAATCTATTTTATTTGCCATGGTATGCATTAATGAGGCAAGCAATATTTTTATTTTGCTGCTTTCCTGGACATGAATGCAGAAGTAGACTTCTAACCAAGATGACTTAAGGATACAAGACAAATGAGGTATAGGTAGAGGTACAGCAGATTTTTTGAAAAATGCCTGCGTTGATAACTCCAGTTCAAAGAATTTACACATAGCTAGATGTTCAATCTTTGTACATTCAAAAATATCGAAACCCTTAAACAAGTTTAACATGGTTAGAAAGGACTTACTTTTATTGTAGCAGGTTGCTAGTACACCTTTATCTGCAGGACTCGTACTAACGTGCCAAATTTCACCTACTTGATGAAGGAGAACATTTTTGTTTATAATGTTATTTTCATCATCAAAATCTATGATGTGAATCTGCAAATACAATAAAACAGAACATTAGGGTTTCAAATGTCTTCCTGTGGGTCTTAATTATACACGATGACTGCACAGAACAACTTAATGATAATTTTCTAACCGATATCTACTTTAATTAATTGTTATACTAACAATTTAGTATATCATTGATTTCATGCAGGATATAATTTTCTAGGAAAAACGCAAGCAATTTCCTTGTTTTGAGGAAATACTATGCTTATTCTTCTCAATTTTGCAACTTTAAGCTTGAAGGTGATTTTTCATTTTATGGCTAATAGTAAAGAAGCCACTTGTATTGCAATTCAACACTTCTTGTATCAATAAATAGAAATAACATTACAATCCTTAGTCTAAATGTCTGCACCAGTTCTGTATACATTTCATAGATATCGAACCTCCTACGCAGAAACAAGGGAAGAGAGGGAAAGGACCCTCATTTGGAACAAATACTGTAAACTCAGTAAAAAACTTTTTGAGAGTCCACTTCAGCAATCACATATCTGTATCAATATATAAATCCATAATGCTTTTTATACTAGATGGAAAAACAAAACATTGAACTGAAAGACAAAGAAAACCAATAATGTTTAAATACACAGATAAGATTTTTAAAAGACATACAGCTAAGTTTGCTTTTTGCGATTTTGATTTTTGTTGCAGGCTTTTTGTTTGTTTTTAATAGGTCTATGTTACTCTCATTTTTCCTCCCTATTTTCAGTAAGTTTTTTTTTTGCCTGTAGTTGCCTCAAACAGAAGAAATTGAGAAAGATTCTAGCCTGGCACAATGTACACAAGCAACTTTACTCATGGGACTAATTCCACTAAGCTTAACAGTGAACAAATAAATTGCAGGAGACCCACAATTTTTAGAGAACTGTATCCTCATTCAAAATTCATTAGCAAAGTCAGGTGAACAATGAGGAGGAAAAAAAACAAGAGACATCCTATCATAATGATTGATTTCAGTCTACTGAATTAACTACTGAATCACTGCAAAAATCTTAGTTATACAGTACTACATAAAATTTTCTTAAAATACAGAAGCTGCTAAATTGGTCCCAATTTAGTCTGAATTGGTAATATTACATGCTTTTTTTTTTTTTTGAAGGGTTGAGTTTACACGTTACCTTTTTCCTTCTCTTCCAAACACTGTCATCAGCAACTTCTCCTTCAAATATAATCCTGGACTTTCATTATCTGTATTGTCCTTCCACTGTCATCCAATGTATATACGCACCTCTGCAGCTCATTAGCAAGGTGTGTTTCCCAGCTTCGTTTGTTGCCCTGAACCTTCTACCCCACGAACCGCATAAACATCTTCCTATCCCACTTAAAGAGGGAACGTCATTCCTTTCAGAACTCTCCAGAGTAACATTTCTTAGAGTTAGCTATTGTTTCACTTTATTTTGGCTTTCTGTACATCCCACCTCTGATCTACTCCCTGTATCCCAATTCAAGAGCTTCTATCTATACAGAAAGCTCTTGCTCATTTCATCAAAGATCAGCTTAACCTCATCCCCTCTTTTTTGCTTTTTTTTAAATAAAAATTTAAAGACATCATCTATTCGACCATCTATGCTGCTTTAATCAGATAAATCTTGATGTTCTGAATAAACTTACAACTCAAACTGTTGACAAGTCAAACAGGTACTTCACAAGCAGAGAACTGGAATGTAAAGAATAGCAACTTATCCAAAACTCTAAGGTAAAATACTTTCAGCTGACTCGTGGCAAGAATAGTAATTCCTGTTGTTATTTACACAGTAAAATACTGATAATTAGCTTTATCATAACAGAGAAAGGAATCTCTGAAATTTACCAAATCAGGTATTTAACAGAGAAACCATGAAGTATGTGAAAATCTGTCACAGCTTAAAAACTACAAGTTATCTCAGCTTCCCATGTAAAGCATGATCAGACCAGGTAATAGTGCTTACCTCAAAGAAAAAAAGTGGGGGAAGGCAACCTTTCACTGGAGTCTCCTTTGGCAGCTCAACCCAAATCCCTGAAGGTGAACCACAAATCTAAATCCCATTTACTACAGTCACACACGTTCTGTACCCACACTAACCAGGTTAAGGGACTCACTGAGCACATAAGCTAAGGGAATGCTCTTCACCCCATGTGAAGCCCTTTGAAAGCACAAATAAACAATTTCTCCTCTGCTGTTATGTTTCTGCTTCAGCTGACCTTATGGCTAGCTGTAAACTACGCTGGAACACACAGTTAACCAATTAAAGGTCCAGACCGAGACCTTTAGGAAATATGAAATTTAATTCTTAAGTAAGGGCATTGTTTATACTCTGCAGAGTTGAAAACTGACATCTTCTGCAGCTATGCTTTGTTTAATACATTTATCAATGATCTGAATGAGGGGATCGAGTGCTCCCTCAGTAAGTTTGCAGATGACACCAAGCTGGGCAAGAGTGTTGATCTGCTTGAGGGTAGGAAGGCTCTGCAGAGGGATCTGGATAGACTGGATCGATGGGCTGAGGCCAACTGCATGAGGTTCAACGAGGCCAAATGCTGGGTCCTGCACTTCAGTCACAACCACCCCACGCAATGCTACAGGCCTGGGGAAGAGTGGCTGGAAAGCTGTAGAGCAGAAAAGTACCTTGGGGTGTTGGTTGACAGCCGGCTGAACTTGAGCCAGCAGTGTGCCCAGGTGGCCAAGAAGGCCAATGGCGTCCTGCCTTGGATCAGGAATAGTGTGGCCAGCAGGAGTAGGGAGGGGATCATGCCCCTGTACTCAGCACTGGTGAGGCCGCACCTGGAGTACTGTGTTCAGTTTTGGGCCCCTCACTACAACAAAGACCCTGAGGGGCTGGGGG